TTGCACCGGTGCAACCGCCAGGTCCAAGCATGGGTGGTGGCTAAGTCTCAAGCGGTACAACCGCTCTGGGCAACCGGTGGTACCGGTCAAATAAATCAACAAGTACAACCGGACCACCACCACCCAAGAACCGCCCCACGAGGGAAGCCAGTCCGATGGTAGGGCGGTACCGCGCTGGTACAACCACCCGAAGGCATTCCTAGGGTTTTCCATACTTGAGGCAGTATAACCGCCCTGAGGCAGCGGTACAACTGCCGACAAACAACTTGAGAATAACAACCCCAGGGCATCACTCCTGGGGTGGTGGTTGCACCGGACGTACCGCACAAGCGGTGTTGGGGAACGTTGCAGAAAACAAAAAATTTCCTACGGTTTCACCAAGATCCATCTATGAGTTCATCTAGCAATGAGTGATTGGATTGCATCTACATACCTTTGTAGATCACGCGCAGAAGCGTTCAAAGAACGGGGATGAGGAAGTCGTACACGACGTGATCCAAATCACCGAAGACCTAGCGCCGAACGGACGGCGCCTCCGCGTTCAACACACGTACGGTCAGCGTAACGTCTCCTTCTTCTTGATCCAGCAAGGGAAAGGAGAGGTTGAGGAAGATGGCTCCAGCAGCAGCACGACGGCGTGGTGGTGATGGAGCTGCAGTACTCCGGCAGGGCTTCGCCAATCTCTATGGAGGAGGAGGGGGTGTTGGAGAGGGAGAGGGAGGCACCAAAGGCTGAGCTATGAAGTCCTCCATCTCCCCCACTATATATAGGGGTGCCTAGGGGGGCGCCGGCCCTAGGAGATCCAATCTCCTAGGGGGGCGGCGGCCAAGGGGTGGGGGGCTTGCCCCCCAAGCAAGGGGGCGCCCCCTCTAGGGTTTCCCCACCCTAGGCGCATGGACCCTAGGGGAAGTGGCGCCCCAGCCCACTTTGGGCTGGATCCCTTCCCACCTCAGCCCATGTGGCCCTCCAGGATAGGTGGCCCCACCCGGTGGACCCCCGGGACCCTTCCGGTGGTCCCGGTACAATACCGGTGACCCCGAAACTTGTCCCGATGGCCGAAACAACACTTCCTATATATAATTCTTTACCTCCGGACCATTCTGGAACTCCTCGCGACGTCCGGGATCTCATCCGGAACTCCGAACAACATTCGGGTTACTGCATATACATATCCCTACAACCCTAGCATCACCGAACCTTAAGTGTGTAGACCCTATGGGTTCGGGAGACATGCAGACATGACCGAGACTGCTCTCCGGTCAATAACCAACAGTGGGATCTGGATATCCATGTTGGCTCCCACATGCTCCACGATGATCTCATCGGATGAACCACGATGTCGAGGATTCAAGCAACCCCGTATACAATTCCCTTTGTCAATCGGTATGTTACTTGCCCGAGATTCGATCGTCGATATCCTAATACCTCGTTCAATCTCGTTGCCGGCAAGTCACTTTACTCGTACCGTAATGCATGATCCCGTGACCAGACACTTGGTCACTTTGAGCTCATAATGATGATGCATTACCGAGTGGGCCCAGTGATACCTCTCCGTCATACGGAGTGACAAATCCCGGTCTTGATCCGTGTCAACCCAACAGACACTTTCGGAGATACCCGTAGCATACCTTTATAGTCACCCAGTTACGTTGTGACGTTTGGTACACCCAAAGCACTCCTACGGTATCCGGGAGTTACACGATCTCATGGTCTAAGGAAAGGATACTTGACATTGGAAAAACTCTAGCAAACGAACTATACGATCTTGTGCTATGTTTAGGATTGGGTCTTGTCCATCACATCATTCTCCTAATGATGTGATCTCGTTATCAATGACATCCAATGTCCATCGTCAGGAAACCATGACTATCTGTTGATCAACAAGCTAGTCAACTAGAGGCTTACTAGGGACATGGTGGTGTCTATTATTCACACATGTATTACGATTTCCAGATAACACAATTATAGCATGAATAAAGACAATTATCATGAACAAGGAAATATAATAATAATGCTTTTATTATTGCCTCTAGGGCATATTTCAACAAGCGGTACAACTGCTTGGGTCAGCGGTATAACCGCTGGGGAGTAAAAACCAATGTTAGCAGGAGTTTGAGGACCTCTCTCTCCTCGAACGGAAGGATATATGGTGGGTGGAATGGAATGTGTACATGCACTCATTCACCCAGTACCTTCCGATGTGGATTTCCTCTTAATAGTACGGGTTTTCTACGATCAAAGAAATAAACACGCAGAAAACACTATCTTCATTCTTTTCCGTCCGGAAGGAATGCCTAATTGTCTCGTATCAAACAAAGTGTACCTGAAGAACTTGGCACATGATTAGACCGCAAAGTGAGTTGTCATCATCACCAAAACACTAAGGCGGGAAATGCCCTAACAAATTACCATATCACTTTTAGTACCATAGTCATTTAAAAAACATGCACATATTCCAATTTCAGTACTATTTTAAAAATATATTCAATAAATTTAGTACCACATCCATTTCAATAACCTAAAATTGAAATACTGATGATAAATTTCAGTACCATACACTTTTGGACACCAGAGACATTACAATACCTGATCACTTTGTTACCAGGTGCATTTCAATACCATATGCCTACCAGATCACTTTGCTAGCATTTGCATTTCAATACCAGATGCATTTTGATTGATATACCGCTTTTTATTGGAATACAATACCATTTTCGACACCACATCCATTTCAATAACATGCATTTATTTTAATTTTCAGCACATTTTGAATTTTTTTAGACATTTTAAATATATATTTCAACAACACATATGTTTCAAAACATTAATTTTAATTATTGTATTTTTTTGAAAAAATTAACATGATAAAAAATGAAACTGATATTTCACAATTGTAACTGCCAATGTGAAACTGAAATAGTGAAAATTAAATGACTTTGAAATGTATTCAAAGCTGGTCTTGTTCAAAAGGTCTTGTCGCCAAGTATTCAAATATATAAAATAACAATAAAAATCCAATTATTTTTTAGAAGAAAATAAAATTATAATTTGGTTTGGAAGTTATGAATGATTTAAAATACCACTTAGAAATAAAAGGGTTGCTTTATTTATAGGGAACGGAAGAACACGCGCTAGTTGCTCAATCTGTTGCTTGCTTCTCTTCTGTCTTGGAAAAGTGAGGATTTTCTATCTGATCTAAAGGAATGAAAAGAGGTGGAAAGGTGGTGTCGACCCCTTTCCCCTCTCCTCCCGGGTCGCTCGCGCGAGCGGCTCCGGAGGACCCCAAACCTAGGCCCAGAGGCTCCCAGATCTCCCCCCTCTGGCCGCTGCCGCCGCCGTCGCCGGTGGTGGCGGCCGCGCCCGGCTGTCGAAGGCAGTGGGTGCTGGCGGCACTCCCTAAATGGGCTCCCTTCGCGCGGAGGCGGGCCGTTCCCTGGGAGGCGTTGGTGGTGGGCGGTCAGCGGCGCGTGGCTGCGGTGGGTGGTCGACGGCGTAGAGCTGCGATGGGCTCCGCCAGCGCGAGGCGTGGTTCCTGGAGGTGCGGCGGGCTCGGGAGGGGGGCAGCAGCGGCGGTGGAGCTGGGTGGCGCGACCTGGAGGCGGCGGCGCATGTTTCCTTCGGCAGAGGTGCGACGCTGTGAGGCTCTGCCGGGAAGGAGCTCCTGGCGAGCAGCGGGCGGCCGGCTTCCTCTGCGTTGGGGCGTGCGGCGGTGTCCTCCCTCCGGTGGCGCTGGCGACGGAGTGGATGGCGGAGGGGCGGGTCAGATCTGTGTCCTGCTCAAGTTTGGGCGGGCCTGTGGGGATGGGGCCATGGTATGGATGTCCCCTGGAGCGGGTGACGACCACTGCGGCATGCCTGGTCCTTGCCCAGGTGTCGGGTGGCTGCTGGTCGGGGTTGATGGTGGAGGTTCGGGCCGCGTTCCTCGCTGCTGTTTGCGGTGTCGGTGGTCCATGACTGTGTGGCTACGATGGCGAGGTGCTGTGGCGGCGGCGGTGTGAGGCTACAAGGATGCTGCTGCCCCAATCCTTGGAGGTGTGGAGATGGGTGGCGATAAAGATGAAAATCTTGCTCGGTTTTTGCTGGGCCGGTGGCGATAGCACCTGCGGGTGTCTTTCCCCTCATTGGAGGCGTCACCGAGGCGTTGAACCATCTTCCTCCCTCGCTTGGCGTTGGTTTTGATCTCCGGGCGAAAGCCTTGATTCTCTGAACCGGCACGATGGCGGCGTCCTCGACGCCGTCCCTCTGTTGGGAGCATTGTGTCTGGAGACACAGTTTGGAGATCCTTCGTCATGCCCCTCCGGTGTTCGTCGCTGTCCATGATCGATCTTCCGTGGCGCAATGTACGGCCGCCGCTTGTGACTCCAAGACGGTGCCTTTCTCGGGTATGATCGAGTCCCGCCATACACTTGGCACCTCCTTTAGGCATATTGGGTGGATGGTGCGTCGACAAGGAAAGCTCGATGGGAGTTGTTATTTCTTCGGTTGTGACAGGTGTTGGCCGAGATGCGGCTAGGTGTTTTTTGTTTTGGACAGGCGCTCTTGCATTGTAGTTGTTATGGTTGTGGGTGGAATGGAGTTCTCGCTACGCTCGTTGTTCGCAACATGTTGTAGTCGTCTTGTATTTATAATTCTTTTTTCTTCTATAATATTATGGTACGCAATTTGCATACTCTCAAAAAAAAATCAAGCTTGTATGGATGCCCGCTCATGTTTGACGCTACCGAAAATCATGCACTGGATGGACGCCCGGGCATTGAGAAGGAAGGACGCTTTCGAGGCGAAAAGCCATGGGGATCTCCATCGGAAACCGTATCCAAAGCATATGCATGCATGCATGCAACGAAGTACACAAAACGTCTTTCCGATCATACACACACGCCCACAGGCCACATTACGTAGCTTAGCTGTGCTTACTTTATAAACCGGCAGTAATTTGTTGGTGCCAGGACCAAGCGAACATGCAACATGATCACCCACATGAACTGGTATGGTAGATTATACTAGCATACGTAGCGTGTCCGTGGGTTGGTGATTTTGGCGGTGGGTGACATCTTCTTCCTCCTCTTGTAGCGGAGCATGACCTTCCCCTTGGGCCCCGGCATGACCACGTTCCAGTCCGTCTCCGGGAACGGCGACGCCATCTCCAACACAAAGTTCCTCAGCAGGTGGCTCCATATCACCTTGATCTGCATGTACGCGAACGCCTCGCCCACGCACGCGTGCCGCCCGCCGCCGAAGGCCGTGTACGCGAACGCCCCGCCGGCCCCGTCCTCCCCTCTCCCGGGGCCGAACCGCCCCGGCTCGTACCTCTCCGGGTCCATGTACACGTGCGGGAGACGGTTGTGGATCACCAGCGGGCTCGCGACCGTGCGCCCCGCCGGGACCTCGTACTCGTCCCCCTCCCTCGTCCGGACGGCGAAGCTGCGGCGCGCGTGCCGCAGCAGCATCATGGCCGGCGGGTGGAGCCGCAGGGCCTCCTTGATGCAGCGGTGGAGGGTCTCCATCTCCTGCAGGACCTCGTAGTCCACGCGGTCCCCGTGCCGCGCCACGACCCGCTCCTGCTCCCGGACCGCGGCGCGCAGGTGCTCGGCGTTGGCGTGCGCGAGGAGGCGCGCCCCGGTCCACGTGCCCGTGCTGGAGCTCGTGTGCTGCCCCGCGAACAGCGCCGACACCAGCATCCCGACGACCTCCGTGTCGGTCGTCGCGCGGCCGTCCTTGTACCTGGAGTCGATGAGGCACTGCAGCATGTCGTCGACGGGGCGGCCGGCTTCTCTGCGCGACCTGACCATGCCGGAGAATATCTCGCCGAGCCTAGCGCGCGCCCTGTCGCGTCTGCGGTGCGCCGTGGTCGGCAGGTGCGGGAAGAGGATGGTGACGAGGCGCATGCCGTCGTTGAGCTCGCGGAGGTGCGTCGCGGCCTCGCGGAGCATCTTGGAGCGGACCTCTACCCCGAACAGGCACCGGCTGGCGACGAGCGTGACGAGGAGCTCTAGCTCCTGCTTCAGGTCCACCGTGCCCGACTCTCCCCATCTCGTAAAGTACTCCTGCATGCATGCATGCATGCATGTGTAACATATACAGTTAAAAAAAACATGCGCAAGTACTCCGGCCTACACGTACGTATACGGCATATATAGGTTGGCAGCAGTCGATTCCTCTTAATTACCTCGACTTCTCGCACCATGAGGCCGGCGTAGGTCCGGAGCTTGGCAGGCTTCATGGCGTCGCCGAAGAAGCGGATCTGCTCGCGCCGGGTGGCGAGATCCACGTCGAAGGCGACGCCGGGGCCGAAGGTCGGGACGGTGAACCGGGAGACCTCGTCCTGGCTCACCTCCGACTCCAGCCCCTGGAAGAAATGGCTGGACACGTCCGGACCGACCAGGAAGGTCACCTCGCGGTGCAGCAGCCTCACCGTGAACACGCTGCCCAGCTCTGCGTGGGCGTCGCGGATCACTTGCAGCGGGCCCTTGACGAGAAGCGACGGGAGGACCCCCACGAGGGGAGCCCCTGCGGCCACGGGGGGCGAACGAGCGCGAGGTGATCGTTCAGCTCGTCGTCGTCGTCCCATCACGGTCGATATGATGATGACCATCGTCACGGCAATTGGAACCACAAATGCTACCCAATTGACGGTTGCTAATTCCATATCTGTATGTGAAAGAACGAGTTAGTACATGAACATCGTCTACAGTACTTCTATCAGAAACATCGTCTACAGTACATGAACGTTCACAAAATCAATATATCCATGTTTAGTTCTGACACTACCAGAAACCTACATTTTATGTACCTAAACATGAATGAATGAATGATATCCATGTTTAGGTATATATATAGCTCTTTTCGACGAATGCACGTACGGGCATGCGTGATATGGCAAAGTGAAGCGCAGGTGCATCAAATATCTACTGTTAGTGTTTACCTCTGAGCTACACGGCGATCCAATGATGCACTGGTGAGATGATGAAACTAGCCAGGAAGCGCCGGCGTGGGTATCAATATATAGATGGAGAGAGAGGGAGGAAGCTTATAACAAGCCCTCCCTGGCTACTTTTCAACGCTTGAAAATCATATAGATAGAGAGAGAGAGAGGGCCCGCTCATTGATCATGTTATAGATAGATATAGAGAGTGGGCCCGTTCATTGATTATGTTATACTCCATCCGTCCCAAAATTCTTGTTTTAGATTTTTCTAAATAGGGATGTATCAAGTCACGTTTTAGTATTAGATACATCAGTATCTAGACAAAAATAAAATAAGAATTCTTAGACGGAGGGAGTACTTTTCAAGCGTTGATTATGTTCATCATAACCGGCCAATTAGTTGTCCACATGGTTACAAATGCTACTCTCTAGGCGTTATAGTTTTCAAGCGTTGATTATGTTCTTTGCTGTAGGTAAGCAAATCTAGTTGCTGATAGTCTAGCAAACATTGTTTTAGAGTTAGCTTATCTGAGTCTAGGGGGACTCTAATGCCTCCGACTTTATTTTGCCTCAAATTGTAAACGATATGGGCATATGGCCATTGTTTGAGGAATAAAGTTTTGAAGATAAAAAAAACTTTTCGGCGATCACTTTACCGACTGTTAATTGGGGATCCCAATTCATCGTTTGCAACTCAGAAGTACAGAGTGGAAACACGTGGAAGGTTTTTGTCGCCGAGATAAAACAACAACACCTCTTTGCGTAAGCGACATGGTCTATTACTCACCTGGCTTCTAACTTGTCCGTTGTAGAATCACATATATGTTTGAAATTGGTTAGAAGGTATTGATATGAAAATTGGTATACTCGTCGTGGTGGAGGCGACACCGTGTTTATTGGTCGCTTTTGCTATGTCAAAAGGATACGTTTTTTCAACCAATCTGTGGTTGGATGAGTAGGATGACAGTGATATTCCAACCCACCAGAGTCAAAATTACAGACTTGACATTGGTGAGCGTTCAGTGAGAGAAGACGTTCCCATTGACTATAAAGACGTCTGATGTTCCGGCTCTGTTTCTCATGGGATCTCATAAGGGTAAGGTGTGTTTTCATTCATAGAGGTGAGTGTACGTATGTATGTATGAGCGTCTGTGGCTATTCCCTAGTTTATTAGCCCCTCTCGTATTTTCGATCATAATTTGACCATAATTTTAAGTAATAATAAAATATAAGTCATATATATAAAGAATAATATAACTAAATATGAATCTAATAATATAATATTTTTATGACATGCATTAACATTTTACTAGTCAAATATATATATGTCAAACTTTGACCCAAAGCACAATCAGGACTAATAAGCAAACCCAGACGAAAGTAGCATTATGTAAAGGTCAGGTGTGAACACTCCGTAATTGTAGTCTTGTCGCCACATTTTAAGCCATAAGAACTCAGAGATAAACCACATACCACGTGATAAATTAGCTACCAGTCCACCACCTACCAGATGGAGCTAGCAATAAAATCTTATCAAACCAGGACAGTTGTGCATGAAAATGAAAGCGTACATAATGCATGGTCCAGAATCACAAAATCCGTGTCAAAAGCTTAATTTGTAATAAACCTGTCGAAGAAATTTAAGGGGCGGCTATTTCACAGTCGCGTGATAAAAACTCTCAGTTTACAACTTCAATGTTTTTGATATAGCTCATCGTTCATGCAAATGCTCTCGGTTTACAACTTCGTAGTACAATTGCGCTCAAAAGAGCAAATTTTTTGAGAATCTCAAAACCCAAATATGTAAAGAACTTCAACTATATTTTGCATTAAAAAATCCAAATCTATTGTGAAGGTTCATAAAAAGTACAAAGTTTGGCAAACATAATAAAAATTACTACATCAAGGGCCATGCACCAATGAATGACCACTACCGCCGACAGAATGAGCTGTCGACGTGCCACTATCGCCGCTCCCCTACAAGAACCGGCTTGACCTTGTCGATGACAGCCGTGAAGTTTTCGTGCACATGCCTTTAAGGATCAGCGTCCCGGAGCTACAACCATCATCATTAGAACCCTAAATCTTCATGAAGCGCCTGATACCAAATCTCATCGCCGAGTGCGCACGGCGAGAAACCCTAACATTGCCACCCAGAAGACTAGCTCAAAGATGACACACCATGATCCGTCCAAACAACATTCCGCGTTAACAAAATCCGTACATAAATTATTAGCCAGAGCTGAGGCACTGGGACACCCCTCCCCGCCACCACCCTCCTTAATATTAGGTGTGCATTAGTCCAATCAAACTCTAGATTATGTGCCAAAAGCTCATCAACTCATCCTATTATTTCCATCATGTTTACTTTGAATGGACCCTTAGCTAGCTCTATTGCAGCCTCTGTTGGAAAAGGCCGTGTCTAGAAGGTGCTTAGGCGCTAGGCAAAGGTCAAACGCCCCACCTAGGGCATAACTAGAATTTTAGGAAGGGCAAATAATATTATTGTTTTATCAAAGTGAGATATCATGTCGTATTGCACTTGTATGACAAGCAAGAGATATTTCAATGACACTAGTCAGTAATTCACTCATATATATGCTCTAAATTAACATCGTTACACATATAACATGCACCCGAAGGCCAACTACGTCACTTAGAGCAAGTACAATACGATGATGTAGGCTGGCTATAAGACATTAAATATTATATTTTTGCTTAGTTGGAAGAGAGAGAAAAGGAGAGAGAAGAGAAGCAGACTACTAGTTAACAGCCGGCTGCAACACGTGCTCCTAGACACTTTGTGAGAGAGTGAGGTGGGCCATGTATCAACAAAATAGTACATATTTATATCCAGCTATTGTACTTGTTGACTATAAGCTTGATTATATATGACGTGGCAATATCATATAGTCAGCAGCTGGCTATATTATTAACCATGCTCTTACGGCTATTACTTTTTGAACTTGCAGCTTGTTCGAATTCCCAAATCGCTACAAGGCAAGTGCTGACCACTGGCCACTATAAGTAAGCTCGATTAAATATACTTGACGAAAAAATAAAATAAATAAGACACTTCTATTTTTTTTATCATAACTACAATATGCATTCAACAACCCAGAGTCTTCTTCTCGTTTTAATTTTCTTCTCCTCCAGCAGTGTTACCCTCATCCACCACCGTTGGCCTGAACGGTCGCCCCCGCCCCGCCACACATGCCTACCCGAGCATCCCGCTCCGCCGAGCTGCTGACACCTTGGCGGCTTGGCATAAACCCCTACTCCTCTCCTCTTCTCCGACTTCGGCAACCCACGTCGTTAACATTCTGCCTCTCCTCCATGGCACCCCCATCTTTTTTCTTCATTAGTAATTTTCTGCATTAAATGTGCTCAAGTTTGGAGGTCAATGGGCAGGCCCGGCTGGACAAAAAATTGTCGGCGAGAAAATATACCAGCGAGCCACCGCTCCCGTGGTTTTGCATCCTAGTTGGTCCACCTTTCAATTCTTCATTAGTGACGAGGGAGAGAGAGAGGGGCACCTGCGGAATGGTTCGTGTGAGCTTTCCTTTTAAAGAAAAATCAAAAATTCCCTTTTCAAGCTACTAATGGGTCTTAAATACTGATGGGTCATGCGTGTGCTAATTTTTTTGTGTGGCCGGGTGGAGGACAACAACTAACTAATTAGTATGATCTAGGTGGAAAACAACAACTACTAACTACTCCCTCCGTTCCTAAATATAAGTCTTTTTAGAGATTACACTACGGACTACATACGGAGCAAAATGAGTGAATCTATACTTTAAAATATGTCTATATACATCCGTATGTAGTTTGTAGTGAAATCTTTAAAAAGACTTACATTTAGGAACGGAGGGAGTAATTAGTATGATGGAGAAAAACCATCCCACGAAAATCGAAAGGAGCCATGACCGAGAAAGAATACACCCATCAATGTGTCGCTTTCTCCACCAGCGCGACTCACACGGCCACCACAATCCCTACCAACGACGCTCCCCACTCTACCTATCCACCCCTCGTTATTCGATTGTCGTGGTTGGGCAAAGCTTGCACGGCAGCAATGATGGTGGGGTTCTTTGGTTTTCCTACCTCTGTCGTGGTTGCTGGTGTTGTTCCACGACGCCGGTGGTCACGGCGTGTGCAATGCTGGGTCCGCCGTAGCACTATGTGTAGGATCGATTAAGGGCCAGTTCTTTTTGGCTCGTGATTCTCCAATATCCAATTTTAAAAAACTGCACACAGAATCAGCTAGAATCAATCGTCCGGTGTTTTTACGAGATTCCAGTTTAAAATTGTTGTAGGAGTTTGTGATGAAGCTGTCTATATAATCAACTAGTCTGTAAATGCCCCTAGGCTGAAACTGTGTATTGTGTCCCTAACACTTGTTTGTTTGAACCGTTTCACATAGAATATGAACACAAAATTGACCTACGAATATCATAAAATCATTAACACTACAATTTTAAGAAGGTTCTAAAGTTTCCTTCATAACAAAAGGGGAAATGCAAATAAAAGGACTAATCTTAAGGTATAAGATTGACGGCAATATCCTCACATGTAGCGGCCATGATACCATCATCTGCTAGTGATAGAGAGCGTTAGCACTTGTAAATGGTAATGAAGGTTGCACATACTCATCATTGTCTAACTTATCAAAATGCTCATGACATAACTTGCTATCACAACCGCAGTTGTGAAGGCACATCA